TTGTTGTTGTTGTTGAGAGAAAAGTACAGACACGTTTACATTTTTTCTCAAAGGATGCGAACACATTTCGGCATCTGGCATCCCCCCCTCCCCAACCCCCCCCCCCCCCCCCCACACACACACACACAGAAAACCTCACAAAGCAGGTCTGAAACTTTTTTGTCACATTTAACAAGCAAAAGTATTCGAAGGCGTCTGTGAACACGTTTATTGAACAACACAATTAAAACCATAGTAAATTATCTCCTCACATTTGAATTCCACTCTTCACACTGTTGCAAAAGTTATGGCAAATTCTTTTTTTTCTTCTGCTCAGTGCCCCTCCGCCCACCAAACAAAAATAATAACAACATTTATTGTTGTCCTTTGCACTATTTACCACTTTACTTTCACACAGCATTCGTGGAGACTGAGAAGCCACAACGTTCAATCATTAATAGAAAACAAAATCTGAGTGCTTTGGAAAATACGAGGTACAATATACTGTGAAGTCCTTGCATGGCTGTTAAAAACATAGCTGGAATAATATATTTCCAGGAAAGGCTAAAAGGTTGGAATTCAATAGAAACACAGAGAGAGAGAGAGAGAGAGAGTGAAAAGTTCCAGAGGGTTGAGAACAGCCCCATCCCCTCACCCTCTCAATCTGGAGACTAAATTGCAGCTTTTCACTCTGGGATTTCGATTATTTTATCAAATGCTCGGATTTCATTCATGGATGAGTGTCTACAAATTTGTGCTTTTTAAATTATTCTGGGATATCGTCCATTTCATACTGTAGAGAGTAGGGTTTATCTCACTCGGGGGAGGGAGGCAATCAATATAATGTTACTACAATATACACGGTTTCCCTCGAAGAAAACGAAAGCCCTTTTCTTCAGCTGTTGCTGCTACTCGTCGACAGCTTTTGAGTAGGGACCAGATGACTGACACAGAAGGCCATTACAGCCACCGGTGAGGTCATGATGAAAAGATTACGGAATCACGGGTCTGGTGGAAGATTATTACATAAAGAGCAACAGCTTCATGGCAACTACATGGTGCAATTATTCAAGGGAATGAGTTGACATCACAAAACCCAAAGATTCAATGATACCTTTCAACTAGATCCAACTTTTATATTTATTTTTGCATGGTATAGTTTTACAGATTAAACAATTAAATAGACAGAATTAAATAGAATGGTTGGCTTCACCCATAGATAGTTCTCTCTTCAACATGCTATTCCATCAGTAGGCTGCAGTTTCGCACCTGTTATTCTCTAACCTGCAAGGTTGTGATCTAGACTGAACCATTAGGGGCAAATGGATAATGGGTGCTCGCTCCACCAGGGAGAATGAGTTACCCTCTGCCTGCTCTCATGTACCTTATAATTGCCATTGGGCTTTTGGAAGAAGCACAGGACGATCTCTTTGGAAGAAGCTCGCTCAATCAATGGTATGTGAAGGGAGAACCTAAAGGGGAAAACAGTAATAAAGTGATCAGTAAGAAAAATTGATGATGATGTATGTGATAGTTGCACTGACGATTAGGAGTGAGGAGATTGTAGCAGATTGAGCTGTTTGATTTCCAAGATTGTTTCCATAAGTGCTCAGCACTATAGAGTTTATCAGCTATCATGATAGCTGATAAACTCTATTTCATTTTCTTGAAACAATGGGGCCTAAATTGTGATATTTGGAGTCCTGTAACTTAGTTGTTAGAGCACTCACCTTGCAAGCGAGAGGACCTGGGTTCGAATCCCGGCAGGGCGAAACATTGGGCAAGTTTCTCCAAACACCTCTGTGTAGCTCGCAGTAAGTAGGAACCCGGTTGTTAGTGACTGGCGGATCGCTTTTCCGGGAGTAATAATCTCTTAAAAAAATAATTTGGTCACTCAATTCACGACGGTTTGTGGGACACTGCTGTGCCCAATCGGCTGCCACGTTTCGCCAAGAAAATATGCAGTCAATTCATTTTACAGTATATCCTGTGAAGCTCTTTAAGGTGTCTCGAAGACATAAGATGCTATGTCAAATGCAAGGATTGCAAATGCTATGTCAAATCCTCGTCCCCCAAGTCCTCCACTCCACCCTCAGCGGCCGTACCTTCAGCCACTATGCCCCGAGGCTCTGGAACTGCCTTCCTCACCCCCTTCGTCTCTTTCCCTCCCTTCCCATTTTCAGGTCTCCGCTGAAGACCTTTCTTTTCAACCGCGCCTTTGGTCACATTCCCCCCCCCTCTCCCGGCTCGGTCCAGGGATCCGTTACTGTAAAGCGCTCTGAGACGCCGTCTGGCATGGAGGGCACTATATAAATCCAAGTTGTTGTTGTTATTATTATTATTTAATGGGATACTTTAACCAGAAATTTCATTAGAATCTCAAAAAACTGAGCAGTTCTGCTCAGGAAGCAATTGTGTTAGAAAACAATTCCTGCTTTCCGTTTGGTTAATGACAGGAGTCCCTATTTGTGTGATTTGGATTCCTTATTATTACCACAAATGAGACCTCATTAACCCTGGAATTTGCGCATCATTTTGACAAAATGTACAGAACATTTTCCTGTAATGTTGTAGCTCTGACATTAGATGGTCATAGTAACTGTGCAGTCAGATTTTTTTTCTATTAATGACTGCACTTTATGGTAGCTTATATTTTGTAAACCAAATCTGGGGACACATATATAAAGAAAATTGAAATCACCACAATTCCTGATGCTGGCAGTACTGGAGAAGCTTGTTGGATTAATGGCTGTGTTTCTCTGATGAGTGTATCTGTTTTAGAATTGCATTGTTCTTGCTCAGTTTGTTGCTGAACTCAAGTCAAGGCAAATTTGGCCAGGGACACAATACCTCAACCGAGGATTGTCTCTGGAAATCGGGGATGTATGTTCATCCTAATTTAATATCCAGTATGTTGAATTATAACCTTTTTAAAAAAGTGTATAGAATAGTGCCAAGTGTTGTAGAGTAATTCAGTAGGGAGGGAGGGGGGGAGGAAGAGGGACTCACCTTTGTTCTAGGGCTCAAATGATCACCTGTGGCTGAGCTGATGGTGCGTGAAACCAACTCAGCACAAAACACATACATGCAATTTATCGTCAACCATGATATGCACATGGTTTATTTGAAACAGTTATGTGTTGCAGTTGGCTACAATACCATTCATAATACAGTATTTCACATTATTTTATGGTTTAAGGTATCTGGACAGAGTGCTGACACTCAAAGCACTAGTTTTATACTACACACGTGGCATGAAAAAATTAATAGGTTCCCCACATATCATTCTTTTCTGCAGACCAACAGCACCACCTGCAAAATGTACATTCACAATACAGTGAATTTTTGGAAATTGTATTTGTTTAACAAAAAGTGTCCTCCTACCTCAACATCTGCTTGTTCTTCTCTGAACTCGTTTTTGTTTGTTATATCATTTCCTGTTTATTCCACACAAGCATTTTGTTTTTCTTCCAATTTTCTCCCTTGCTCTCCTCAAGGTGCTGACTCTTGCTGGTGTGTGGTTCCACATGCCCTGACAGTCCTCTGGCACTTCACTGTTGGCTGCTTATTCATCTGTGAAGGGCATCACAGCTGAGCCTGATCCTATCCTCACCTGATGTCCACATGCAAATTCACTTTCCAAAAATTAGGCAGGTGAACCCTAGCTGATATTTTCCCCCCTCTGTAGCTCAGGGATACTGAAGCCACAAGTCTTCATGTGGATGAAGACAAGATCAGTCCTGTGGAGTCCTGTAGCTCAGTGGTTAGAGCACTCACCTTGCAAGCGAGAGACCTGGGTTCAATTCCCAGCAGGGCAAAACATTGGGCAAGTTTCTTTACTCCACATGCCTCTGTTTACTTAGCAGTAAGTAGGATGCCGGTTGTTAGTCGATTGGAGAAACGCTTTTTGGGGGTAATAATTCCTTCCAAAAAAAAGAATAAATTGGTCACTCAATCCACGACTGTTTGTGGGACACCGCTGTGCGCAATTGGCTGCCGCGTTTTGCCCACAAAATATAGTCAATTCACTTTACAGTATATTCTGTGTAGCACTTTGAGACATCTCAAAGATTGCAAGGATTATTATTATTATCCGGCTCAGCTGCAATACCTCCTATGGTCTAGTCGTCTGGCAACATTCATTATAAAGGCTTACACAATGGTCATTTGGCAAGTTACCACAGGGCAATTTTTTTGGCACATGTGAAATCATACTTCAGCAGGAGTCATTGCTAGATTCGCAAAAGGATATGTTAATATTGAATTTCAAATGTGTCACTAAAGCTCCACTCAGATGCTAACTTTATGGATGTCAGCAGCATTCAAATGTTGTTCCAGAGGATTGTCCTGGAACACATGCAGGAATCACTGTTTACGTTACCGTCTAAACCCCATCTCAGAAGGGGGTGACGGGACAGATTTGCCTTCCTGCTCCTCATCTGAGATGGTCAGATGGCATTTTCCCAAACCTTTGCCAATGCTTGTCTGGCATTAGCTGGAAGGAAGAATACAAGAGTGATGGTGTGATTTGCTTACCAATTTTCCCTACAGGGAAGTGCCTAGCTGTTCCCCTTACTCCCCCATCTCTCCCCCCAATAACGCAGCCAATATCCGGAACTTGTCATAGGGTGGTAACTTAAAAGGCTGTAACATAATCAAGGGTTTTAGATGACATCATAACCGTGAGCAGCACGTTGGAGAGGTTTATGAACCTCACCTGTTATTTGTGCTGGGCAGTCTGGTTATTGAAACAATCAACAGTATGGTGCATGGGACACCTACCAGCTGCCTGGCCATACCTTCCGTACTAACACATTTACATTTTTGAAGATAAAGGAAAACAAATGTAACGTTTATAGGCTTGTGTTGAAGGCAAACCTCATCAAGAGCAGTACTTTCCAAGGCTTTATCAAACACTCCCTGTAGCCACTCCCTCACCATGCTTTATTAAGCTAATGAATATTAGGCACATTTGAATCATTTCCCTTTGTCCCCAAAGATCAATAAATTATTGTAGTCTGTTTTAATTTAAACAAAACAATTTATTTAATTGGGAAAATTCTCTCTTGTTGAGAAAATGATGTTGTCAAAGACTGTAATAAAAGACCCTAAAACAATGAAGACATTGGCTGGGGAACCCCCAGGCACAAATTAACAGAATAAAACAATCTTTGCCCCCATGAGCCCTGTTGAGATGAATGAAAATATTATGCAAAAAAAAATGTAAATTTTATTAGGTCTTAAAGGTTTTTTTTGGGTAGTATGCTGCACTTGGAACTTAAGTACTATTTTATTATTGACACATTCATAGATTAATTTGTCAAACTTCTAAATAAATATTTTATTTTTTATTTGAACTTTTATTGTTGTGTGTAATATTTGATTCTTAAAGGCAACAAACATTCTTCCAATTGAAAAAAGTCTTGTACTCTTTATATGAAATATACAAATGGCAAAATATGGTAGATCTGTTTTCAATATTGAATTAAATTAATCACTCACTCTGTCCTACATTTACTAATTCATGATCACATTAATGCATTTGACAAGCGAATACTTATGAGGGTGCAGTGTTAGAGTCCTGTAAAACAATTATGTGTAACACTAAGTCAAAAGGTTAGGGGAAAGCAATAAATAACATTGTGTATAATTTGGGGTCCAAAATAGATTTCAAGGCAATTTGTGTGTGTTTGTGATTAAATGAGTTAATTTTGTGATACATTCTGATGAACTTTCATGTCATAGTTTGAAATCTCTTATCAAATAAAAAGGAGCCAATTTATTTTTATTTGAATATGAGCAAATAAGAGTGAGACACATAAACTACCAAAAACATCTTCGTCACTTTACATGGTTACACACATTTATATTCTCTCCTCTTTGTCTGAAGACACTCTTGCTGAGATACAATTTCATGGCTAAAATCTGCATACTCATACCTCATCCATGAATCTGATCAGAAGGTTATTTGACCATAGAGACTTCATTGTCAGAACCAATTCTGTTTTCACCAGAATCCACGTAAAGGATTGTCAATAAACCCTGAAATTTACACATTTTCATGCAAAGGCAACTGAATTGTAACCACAAGTGGAAAACCTTCACTGATTATTCTCTCCCCTAGCCCAGGGGTTCTAAGACTAATTGCAGCACCCCAACTGCTGCAATGGTTAGATCAGCTAATTCAATGCAAGATAGGGAGATCAAACCCAAGCCCTTTTGATCCATCTGGCTTAGAAGTAAATTTGGTGACACCTTTATCCAATTATTGGACTATTGTCTGAACACAGTTATATTCGTGTACTTTGTTCCAATACTGCTGTTTTCTAGTTCTAGTTAGGGACCAGAAGTGAGCTGTGCTCATCGATGAACGTTGTTCTGTCATCACCAAGAGAAGATAAAGCATAACGTAAATTGAGAATCTCAGTAGACTGGCTTGCTTCAGGATTTCATAACACAATCCTGACCAATATTCATTGAAGAATGAATGCATTTTATAAATTTGCAGTGGAGTTAAAATGGAGCACGTTATAGCCTGCTAATTTTTTTCATGGGAGGGCAGGATACATTTTTCTCTTGCTGAAAACATATCACCCCCCACCCCAAATAAAAGATTTATTCTATTCAGTGTAAAATTAAGTCACTATTGAAAAGAAAAGAACTTTAGAAGCCATACAATCAGGAAACAATGGGAGTAATTGGACTGTTGGAAGCAAATAGATACTTTCAATGTAACGTTGATTGCATATTCCACCTTATTTTGCTTAGTTCAGTGAAGTAACACCTGTTCTACATTATTTACAGTGCCAAGTGACAAAGATAGAACACTCAGCAGTTCCATTGGCACTTTGAACGCTACAGGACTTCCAGAGCATTGGAGCCGCAAGTGTAATTCTAAACCCATATTGCAGTTTTGATTTGCAGAAAAGGTTTTGGGCTGCACTTACGGTTTGCTTCAACAGAACTTTGGTGTCTAGTAATGTAAAAATAAATCCCAAAGCATTGTTCATTGTATGAGGATGCAAATGGCGTTCATATTTCAGATGGTACTCTGAGTCGCTGAACATCTAAGGAACATGCCATTGTTTAATTGCTGAAAGCAACACTGCTTGATTTACTTCAGAAAGATGCAATGATAGAACATTTGAAAAGGTACAATACAATATGGGGAATAAAACATGGGCACAGTAAGAGTAGGCCTAAAATAAGCTGCAGCTGCTTAGTGTTGATCACAATCTGAAAACAAAAAAATCTTTCCCTGAAGAATTATGTATTTTGATCCAATTTTTAAACTGCAATATGACATTAAGCTAGCATAATAAGATTAGATCTGGGTCTTTTTTACATTTCACAGATCATTGGAAAATGAGCAAAAATCAAAGGCACATGTCTATTTGTGCTTCATAACAATTATCATTCCCTTTCTAAATATTTTTTGGAATGAATATTAAATAGCTATTGATTGCTCTCTGTATATCAGGAGGGGGAGAAAAATCAAAAATGCTACTGTGTAGGCCTTGGGGCAGTTTCAAATATTTTTCTATTTAATTCACATTAATCACTTGCTTTCTGAATGATAAATGTTATATCAGTCAGGAATGGAAGTTTGATTTGAGTTCTTTGGTAACTGCAAATTGATTCCTTTGCAGCTCTCAAACCTTGGTGCAGGATTTCTGCAGAATGTGGAACAATAGTGGATTGTTGTGTTTATTTACCCTTCTACAAGCTGAGCTAACCTCTGTAACACAGCTTTTCTCAGCCTATTAACCAGATAGCACATCTGACCTGCAGCAGTGTTTTAATGTGATGCAAAACCTGACAGGGGTCCATCCAAAGAAGTTCTGCTGTACTGTGCTTCTAATCGTTACACTGGAAAAATTACCACAGCTCTGCATCTATCAGTGTCCCGAACTATAAAGTATGGAGTTACTGGAGGGCTAGATATGCACAACTGTTGGTACTCGGTAGGGGAGTTTGGTCTAGACAATCTCACATTACTGTATCATCCCAAAAAACGACACAAAATGTTTTTTTTTCTAAATTACAGTGGCACGGCCTCGCAGAATCACATTATTAAAGTATACAGTGATGCAGTGACCTCCATAAAATTTCCACAAGCAGCTGGTCTGTGTCTCCATTTTTTGCTGACCACTGCATCAAGCATTGATCTATGATTGAGGCTTTCTCCTTTCGAGCTCACATTTCTTCGATGGCTGTAGCCAGCGTAATGATATTTTGCGCCTGCTTCAGAGATGGCATGTCGATCATACTTCCTTGAAACGTAAAGGCACCCTGACAAACACAAAAAAGACCTCTTGTTCATTGAAATTCTGTGATAGTTGTGATTTTGTGACTTCCTTATAGGAAGTGCATGAAAAAAGTGAAATATTTGAAGACTGACAGCTAAAATTTGAACCAACATTTTCAGAAAATAAAATTAAATATCTTGAAGACAGCTCATGTCATGTAGAAAATAATAGAGTAACACATATGCAAAATATTAAAAGTGATTAATAATCTTCAAGGTGCTATAGTGAGGATAAGATGCTGATTTGCTTTTTATTAGTTTGAAATAGTTCATTAACCTAAATTTGGAATTCCACAGTTTGCAAACCTACAAATTAACACAATGAATCCTATCCATTTCTTACTGTAACTCTTGTAAATAAATCAATGCCTCAAATAGCAATACAAGAACATTTGTAATATTTCATCTAATGTTTGCATTCCAAAGAGTTAAGTCCAGAATGTATTTTTTTTTGCTTGATTGAACAAGATAATATATTTTTAAAGAATTTCACAAACATAAATCAAATGTTGATTTTGTAACTTTTCAAGATTTATCCACATCTATCTGTGCAGCTACAAAGTCCAGAATTGTATGATTATTTTTGCAATGCCGACACGTTTTATTTATATAGAGGGAGGATGCCCAGATTTTGAAATAATGGGGTTGACTGTCTGGATGGATGATGAGATTATATGGTGTTAAATACTTCCTATGGAAGAGCTGATAGGTTGTGAACATAAGGTTCTACTAAGATAATTAACTGACAACACCGCGATTACCACAAATTCTTCCTTCGGGCGATCCTTAATCTGAGCATCACTGGCACAAAGCGGGAGCAGACTGTGCATCTCCACTGAAATATATATACAACAATAACCCACAGTGCAGGAAGCACAATGCGATTCAATGATGCAATAAATTAGGAAACCAGAACCAAATCACCAATTTACTTCTATTTGCCACGCTAATGGACGCCAAAACATTTTAATCCCATTTAAGAATTTATTCCTATAGGTAATAGCGAGTTTTCGTAGTCAGGTTTAAAGATTGTTAGCAGTCAGTTGCAACAAAAAAAAATTAACTGTTTGAAAGTCTTTTTAAATAATTAAGTGTGTGGAATTGTATTCAACATGTAGAATGTGCCAAGTTAATATTCAAATTCACCTTCCCCAGTTTCTGATGTTCGTTGAATGCTCTTATCAGTTCCTGAGCCCATTTGACCCTCTCAGGACTGGGAAAAAATGCATTCTGTACAATTGGAATTTGACTAGGGTGAATCACTTGTTTACCTAAAACAAAGGGGGGAAAAAAATCAAAACATTTTATTTCGCACTCACAAAGGAAAAATGTTTCTAAATAAACAGCAAATTCACAACATGTGAAGTACCAGCTAATATTCTACATAGATCAAAAATCACCCAGCTGCTCTTTTCTGTCATGTTAGTCATCGTCTGTAAGGCCAGCTGTTCTCTAAACTATACACTTAGGGGGGTAAAAAAAATTAAATGTTCTTTTTATTATTAATAAAACATACAGAAAAGACCTTTGCTACTAGCAATAAGGCAATAAGAATATAGAATAAATAGGCTGCTCGACAGATGGCATTCATTTTCCTCATAACAAGGCCTTGTATTAATATCTGCAGCACCATGCAGTACAGTCTAAGTATATTTGTTTAAAATATGATCATTCGTGGTCTTAATCAATGCATCCGTTTATGTAATATTTTCAACAGTGATTTCAGAAGATTTGAAAGGTTATATAAAAAGTTTCACGCCTTCATTTTGTCACTGAAAAAGGTAAATTAATAGTAGAAATTTTATTATTAAATCATAGGCAAATACCGACAACTACTGATATGAATTTGACGATATACATCTGATTTACTGTGCTTGATGTATGTTCCTTACTGTATTTATCATACAGTGGAAAATGCACTAGATAAATGTTTGAAAAATCAATTAGAAATTGTGCATTAGACTCTCACTGTACTTTCTATTATATCACAGCCTCTAACATAGCACACATAGCGTATGGCCTCCTCTCCATTTAAAAGCAAAACAAATAAAACATGAATACTGTGGCAAAAGGGTGTTTGTTTTGCATGTGTTGGAAAACCAGCATTATATCAGTGAATTTTCAAAATATTTCTGAGCGGCATATAAAAGTAATTAAAGTTCAAAACCAAGAATATTCCCTTAAAATCCGAAACCTGGTCAGTATCAGAAAGAATACGACGATTAAGAAAAGCATTTACATGATTCTAAGGCAAGATGTTGGCCATTGCTCAGGACTTGGTAACACTATTATAATCCTAATACTATAGGCGTGCATGCTCCATGATTAATTACACATTTAGAAAGCAAAGTGAGAACATTGGATGCCAAATGTACAATATCAGAAAAACTCCTGTTGTGCAAGCTTCCAATAATACTAAATTAAGCATCCAAAAAAGTCAAGGAATCTCAGTCTGAATCAGCCTTAAAGACACTCAAACTCGTCTGCCATCATGATGGTTTTTTTTCACTAGTTGTACAAAGAATATAAGGCACAATCTCTGGGAGAGAAGAGGAAGAGGAAATGGTAAGAAAAAAAATAAAAGGCAATATAACTTCTATCCTGCAATAGAGCGCTTCCTATCTGCTGATCATGGAACTGCATTGATGGAACCCAAACACAGTATATCCCTCCATTGTCCTGCCCTCTCAGCCAAAGAAAGGACATAATAATAATAATCCTTGCATTTGATATAGCGCCTTATCATGTCTTTGAGACGTCTCAAAGCACCTCACAGAATTCACTGTAAAGTGAATTGACTAGATATTTTGTGGGAGAAAATTTTGTTCCAGACATAGTGGCTGGAGTTAGCAGTAGAGACCTAAAGAAGTGATGTGTTTGGTGGTGGGATTTAAAAAGATAGAGATTAGCTGTCATCCTGATATATACAGATGTAAAATTACAATTAATCCATTAAGTGCTGTATTTTGATTTTATCGGTGATGGTGTACATAATATTATGAAATTATATCGATTGTTGTTTGTGGATTACAACATCACTTTGTCATTTTCTGTGGTTGAATGTTGTTCCTAAATGATATTTCTTTACTTTTTGTTAATGGAATCCTCTTGAATATATTGTATGGATCAAATATTCAAAAATCTTAAATTCTTATTGCTTTAATTGTGTCCTGCGAGTTCATACAAATGACTGCACTGACTAACACAGAGAAGGTTCTTTGATGACCATCTGCAAAAAGCAGCATACAAACTGGTTAATTTGTGCCAACATGAACCCATTTAATTAGATGTTAATGATCTGCTACTCACTATAAAGCTTTAGAACATTTCAAAGACTTATTTTCTAATTTGCTACTCTCTGCACACTTGACGTGAGCCATGAATGAACAATGCAACTAATCTAAAGCATGCTATTGTTAGTAAACAGGAAGCTCTCTCTTCAACTCTTCAAGGACATGAATATCCTTGACAAATTCTGAACACTTTTCAGCTCACTGCAAGAATATTTATTTTGTTCGAATTGCCAATATTGAACATTGTGAATGGAATTGCGGACATGCAAGGAACCCTAAAATATGTAATTTGATGTACTTTTGGAATACATTCAACAATTATCTCCTGTGAAAGAGCAATTCTGAAAGATTAAAATACTTTAAAATTGTTTAATCGCTGCATTCCTGAAAATATATGGCATTTATTGCTTTAAATTTAGATTCAGACATCGAATTTTGAATTGTCAATTTAGCACCAAATTTTAGGTAGTGACAACCAGCAATCACACAACAAATTGTTCTTAAAAATAATACATTTAAAATAGGTTTCTGCGTTCAATAGACAATTTGGAAATAATCTGAAAAACAATAAATTGGATTCATCGACATGCTATTTTATCTCTAAATTTTTTTTATTAGAAGTTTAGTGGAATGGTATTCTTGATTGACAAAACATACGCGTGTTAATCGTGAGCTAAGACCATGAAGATTGGAAAAGATTGCTAAAGCATGATTATTTATAGCCATGAAAATATGTCAATGTAAAACACCATTTGATATGTCCTGTTTCTGATCAACGTTTGTCAGATTCATGCTATGAGGATGATGTTAACATTCCTTTTTTATTTTACCTAGAACAAAAATGCTAATACAAGTATGGTCACCACATATTTATAACCTTTTCAATGTGAAACTAAGTTTTTGCGTGAATGATGAAGTCCAATTTCCTCTGCCATATTTTGTGAAATGCACAATGTATCGGTCTCCACCCTCCAAAAAAAATTAGAAACACGTTGAAATTAAATGCAATTTGGAGAAAATTATTAATATTTTATTCAAAACATTACACCTGTAATTGCAGTGCAATTACAGGTTAAATAGAGCTTATGTTGTAAAGTTTTGAAGATTGTACAGCAAAATATTGTTTCTGTTCCATAAAGGAGGCAAACATTGACTTGAAAAATACACTGACTTGAAAGCATATTTCAACAGTGTACAGTGTATTTATGATGTAAAGTAGGACAATTATGTTTTTCATGAGCATCACCTTTACATTTGGTTCAGATTTTGTCTGAAGTGCTATTACCTACTTTGCATTCTTTAGAAATATATCTGCCATCTTTATTGTCATAGAGGCAATAACAGGATTTTAAGAAACCACTTCACATATTGCTTTTAATAATTTTTGCTTTAGCTTTTTTCTGTAATTTGCAGCTGTAAATAATTCTCTGCAATATTGTTTAAATGATTACCTTGGGGGAAGTTAATTGTTCATTGATATTGAAACATTATTAATTTACTTTTAGTACAATTTAGTACAATTTCTGAATAATTTGTTTGATGATACAATTGTAATAATTTAAGAATTTTATAGAAGAATGCGTCAGAAATACGTTGTTAACGAATAACATCATAAAAAGGTTGAGATGTACGTTATGGCCATATTTTAATTGTTTCTATTCGTAGCCGGTGAAGTATTAACAACAATGCTGCTTATCTGGGAGTATTGTAAATATTAAACACAATATTGTTGTTGCAGCTCGAGAAACTCATACTCTTTTTCGTCACAGTCCACTATTCTTAAAAAGATACCCCTACCACCCACCAACCACCAAATTTTAAATAAGAGCATTATCAGATAGAATCATACCAGTGAAACCCATCAAGGCGCCCTCTCTCGACTGCCTGTAAAGTCCCTCTTCATCCTTATAGTCGATATACACAAGGTCTATTGCTTGGAGACCAAAAGCCTTAGCTGTAACAAGAACTTTCTGCCTCGCGTAAAGCATTTCCTGGGCATCTTTAGTTCTTGTGGCACCTGGTGAATTTGAACACAAAAAAAGGGTCTGTTTCCACAAAGCTTTACCAGTCGGTTCTAAAGGATTTTATAGAAAAAAAATGAATCAATGTTTTTAAAAGTATAAGACAATACAAGAACATTTAACATTTTAACATTCACTGGAAAAATAATAAAAATATATGTAAATTGATCACTTTGTACATTTTTACAGACGCCTTTTCTGTCTGAAAATACTCCCTGTGAATGGTCACTAATCCCTTAGTTTGTTTTTATCTTGCTTATTACTATTAGTAAGAAATGAATAATTTTAAAGTCAAACAGATCATTCATTTCAAAAATGAAAGAGAAATACAACTAATACAATTTAGTTTGTGACCAAGACTAGGAACGACTAAAATTTTCCAAGACTTATTTTTGCTTTTGAGGAAAAAAAAGATATTTAATGCAATCATTGTAACAAAAGAAAAACATGTTTCGTTTAGTGGATGTAAATAGTGAACTTTACAAGTACAAAAATAAGTCCAGTCAGCTAAATTATTTATTATTTTATAAAGACGTAAAAACAAAGCCCTTTTCAGACATTGCTATAAAATGTAAAATGCAAAAAAAGACAACATTTATATCAAAATTTATTGCGTTAGGAATATCTGAGAAGCCCATTTATTACCTATGCTGGCACAGAAATCATCTGAACCAAACACCACTCCATCAAGTTGGAAGCCAGCTTGTGCTCCGAGACGCAATGCTTCTTCACATACAGCCTTCGAGAAAGTAACATTTGACATGAACAACATGAAGAGTTTTCTTTTCAGCAGTAAAACATATCAAATAGGTTTGGTCACATTGTCAACTTTGAGAGTAATAGTGTATGAGAACTGTAAAAAGGAACTAAAACGTATATTTCTTTGTTGATTTAATAAGCAAATGTGAAAATTCTACCCTTGAAATATTTGGCAGAAAAATAATAGAAGAAAAGATATTAAAGTGATACAAACACAATAATATCAGCTTCATCTTGTAAAGGTCTTCAGAGAGAACAAATCATCAAGAAATAGGAACAGTTCAGGAAACTCAGTTAATATACATTTATTTTGTTTGTGTTCTGTTTAGCACAATTTAGTCACAAGGAAGCGCACGGACAATCTTTTCTGCTAACTGAGCAGCGCAAAGACACAATTATTTAATGATTTGGATAAAAAGAAAACAAATATTTTGGGTGTATACTTAGCACCAGATTGTCTTTTCTCAATCTTAACAATGATTCTAATACTGGTGGATACAATTATTTTGAGGTTTGTTGGCTTGTTTATTCTATTGCATATTCATGTTATTTTACTGAACATCAATACTTCATATCTTGTTGTTGGTTTTACTAACTCTTGATTCTAATGGTATTCAAAGTATATCTAAAGGGTTTTATTTTAGTAAGTGAAAATATTTATAAATTATATGCAACGGTAAGTGTTAACAGAATAAATCTTAAAATGGGACTGGTTAATTTAATTGAATATGTGCAACATTTTCTTTCAATGCAATGTTATATTTTAAATAAAGTTAAATATTTATCTTTGCTTTTCAGACTGAGGGAAACACTATATGCATAAAAGTTTAAACAATTATACAGCTTTAAACATTGCATTAATTATGGGCTTTATACTATGAATAAATAACAGTGATGTGATCAATCTGTTGATGCCATACTAAAAAAAGCCAAATATTTATTTGAATCTTTGCTATCTAGCCTGAGAAAAAAAGGTACTGTAGACATTTAAAAATATATATAATTATATAGCTTTAAACAATGCAAGGTTTTTGGGTTTACATAATGAACAAAAATAATACAAACTCCACCTATTCAAAACTAGCAAATGTGATTTTTGTCTGAAGAGTCCAAGGCATAATGAAAACAAATGACTTTATATATATTTTCTTACCTTGAAATTCAGCAATCCCACTGCTGTCTCCACAAAAGTGATTAAATTCATAGGCTCCTGTAACGTCTGACCCTTGAAGTAACTTGCAAATTTATCTGCAAACTGAATAGGAAATATTTTTTACAATTTTAAAATAATAATTACAAACCACACTTGATTTGTATGCAACATTTTAATTTTCATAATGGAGAACGTAATTTTACCTTGTGTATAATTTCATTCACAATGACTCTTTAGAAGACAGTGTTTTAAAGCATTTGTTTTGAGTTTAAAAAAAACTTATCTACTTTATATTAACATATTAGGAACCTAAATTATAAGTCTTGTTGTACACTCTAAACCTTGCTTCTACAGCCAAGAAAATAATGAGACATTTTGATCAATTTTGGTCTAAAACTTACAGTTGCTCATACTTCATGTTTAATTTATTAATACAGTAGTGTGAGATATTGGCTCAGGGTATTGTTTTCAAAGTAGATTATGTTTTAATTTCAAAATATCTGCAGTTAAATTAATAAATATACTTGACGCCTGGAATACACACAGAGATGAACACCTATATGAGCATATTTTTTCGGGCGCAACCTACACAGCACTAAGAAAAGCCGCTCAGACAATTTATTGACCGGGTCTGAATTAAACTGTACTAAATCACCAATGAACATATTAGTAATGCACACTAGCAACAGAAAACTTAATAATCCAGAATACTGAATTTCAGGTATTATTATGGGTAAAACCTTTTGCCATTTTATTATGTCTGAGGTGTAATCCCAAATGAATCGTGGTGCGGCCTATCTGCCTGATATCCTTTCTTTTCAGCTTTTATGTGTCTTTTTGCAATATGATTTTTCTAATACTTCTCGTTTGACTAAGATGTCATAAAGAAAGCAAGTTTCTTTCTTTGAACACCAAAGACTTGAAAAATTGTTTCCATGAGACCAGTTCACAGCCAGTACTGGGCTGTCAGTGGGGAAGCCCAAATTCCAAAATCTATCATCTGGAAACATACAAAAGCACACTGCTATTTTCTTTCAGAGGCAGGATTAGAGTATAAAAGGTACTATATTTAAGTTCTGAATATCATAATTATATAACTGATATATTTATCTCAGGTAAGCCAGAACTATTTTAGTGCAGTAAAACAAAAAATGTACCTAGATATATATACACACATCTTAAAAATTAAAGAATATTCATTTACTGAAGGATTTCAAATGAAAAGGGGAATTTTAATCATCTCCCTATTCAATCTCAGTTGGGTAAATCATATCTAAGAGATTTGCATAAATATAAACCATCAAAGCCTTTTCATCTTCAAAGGGGGTTTCGGGACCCTATAAGCTTTGTACTGTAATCATCACAGGTCACAACCCTGCAGGAGTAGGGCTGCTATGGCAACATAAAAACTAATACTAAAGGCTTAGCATAATATTCTGGCTAATAGAAAAATGCAGTTACAGAAATTCCTTTTATGAACAGCCAACATATAGTATAACACCTGAATTTACACTCAACAGCATAAATGCCAAATGCTCTCATTAATTACCTTGTGGATGTAATTAACTGTGGAATTCACAAATGTTTTCTCTTTATTAAACAAACTCTTACGTAGATTACATTGCACAATATGCTTTTCTTGTCTTCCCTGCAAGAAGCAGGTTAAGGGAAAGGCACATTTGAACCATAAATTATCTGCAATGAATATTAACATGAAAGTGTCTGGTAAACAGGTTTCAATTATTTTTTTTCAAAGGGCCGATTAAAAGTTTCCGGCCCGGTCCAGTGTTCATTGCACTGGCTAAAAGAAAGAGAAATTGGGGAGGAGAAGTAGCAGGCCTCAGCAATTCTTTCAATTCCAAAGCACACCCAATAGTATGTTGGCAAGAATGCACACTGTTCAGGATTTGCGGGAGAATTGTCTCACAACAAAGGAGGGAGAGTTACGCTTGTTATAGTCCAATAATCCATGCCAGTCAAACAAGTACCCATAGCCAGGACAAAGGAAAGCAAGAGATTCTCAAACAAAAGGCAACAAGTAAGCCCATCTTTTAGTTACAAATCAGCCTCCAGGTTTATTCTTAATATAAATAAAAATGGGCAAAATAAACAGTAAAGGGATTCTGATTATGCTTACAATGTGTGAGAATGAAAATGGGCGTGTTCAGGACTTTACACACCAGAAATCCCTCTGGGAATTCGGAAATTGAATGAGGGACAGTCAAACAAAGTTATCTAGAAACTTGTTTAGTGACCTCAAAAGCGGAAGGGAGGTGTGTGTGTGGGGGGGGGGGGGGGGGAAGAGACAGTATTTTATAATGGTAACGGTAATTCTCTTTTCCACATGCATTCACTTCACGTTTCAATTTGAAAAGACTGATTTTTGTAAAGCTCTCTCGTCACTAAAATAAAATAAATAGTAGAGCGAATTCCACAGTCAAACGTTAGTAAGCAAATTTCCTCACATTTTCATTGCTAAACAACCGTAGTAAACACTTCAAAATGAAATACTTACCTGTTAGTCATAAAACTTAAACCATAATTAAAGATGCCTTAAAGCTTTATAAATAGGTCTGCTTCAATCCTATTTAAGCTTAACTGTTCCTATATTTTATAATCGGTCCATTTATTGAAAGCATGTTAAGGTAATGAGGGCTATTTCAAAGTTGACTTAAGTAATTTGATGTGTCTCCTGTTTTTATTTCAAGACTTTATAGGTTTAAAAAAAGTCATGAAACAAAAACACACCTGCCTGCAATTAAAAAGGAAGAAATACAGAACTATTCAGGAAATAATATCTGTAGTAATTACAAACAGTTAAAAGCTTCCTGCTCATTTCTCTGGTTGCCCCAAGCAACACCCCCCCCCCACCCCATATTTCTTTTCCTCTTTTCATTTAGCCTCTTACGCTATTAATACTACTCTGAATTCATACTTTCTCCACCACTTCAGACCACTTCAGCTAAAGCTCAAAATGCTGGAGTGTGGGTGGTTCAAACTCCTCTGACCTGACCCTCTGTTTAGTCCAAGTGATCTGGTGTGTGATCAAAGCAAATGCTGTGCCAAATCGAGGCCTACTCACCCATTTTATTTCTTCAGTATTTTCAACTTTAGGGAGCATCAGGGTCGGAGGAAGGACCTTCGATTTTAAAATTACTTCCATGTCTAAGTCAGCAAGGCCACTCGACACAGAGTTGATTCGGACACATTTCTCTGTGCGACCTATGTGAAGCTCTTCCAGCATTTTTGGAATGGTCAGCCTTGCATCTTCCTTTAAGCAAACAACAAATTTCAATGGTGACAGTAATCTGAGGAATGATAAAATGCTGGCAAATAACAAAAATAGCAGAGTATTCAATGTTTAATATTCACGTAACAACAATGTTTAAATGTAATCAATAATGCTTTTTTATAGTTTCAGTATAGATATATGCATAAGACAAAGTGCATTCCAACATAAACAAATACATAATTAAATGTTACAGGCCGCCAGTAAATATAGTAGCATCTGTTCCAATGATTAAACGTGTTTCTACTGCTGGATTTCTGGTTACAGACCAGACACTGATTACTGTCCCAGTTAAATCATATTAAAAAAAACTAGCAATATTGCTCTTGTTATGTACAATTTTGCTCTTGTAAAAGTGCTATTTTAGTGAAACAAAGAAATCATATCAAATATTCTGTAATGTCTGTCAGGGACATGTACACAACAACAGATTTGAAACAGACGGATGCAAAACTATGCCTAAGTAAAAATGGCAATAAGATTCAAAAATGTGGTCTGAGTTAAACGGCGTGAGGAAACAGTAGCTTACAGTTGTCAGGTCAGATCAGAAACGGGCACTTAAACCAGCTTAAGACAGCTCTGCAGTGTTTCTGATTTACAGGGTCTGGGCTGGCGATAATTAGAGTAAAGCAGAGACAGAATGAAGTGATGTCTCTCTGCAGTTCAAGTGAAAGAATAATGAACCGCAAGGTTAATGAAACCTGAATCAAATAGCCTTCAGCCTGGTATCATCACACTTTCATGAAGGGCTAACACATGCCAGTCAGTGGGAGAGTGAGGCTGCAACCGTCTGGTGATCATTACTATAATGCACAAAATGCTGCAAGTTTAAAAAAAAGTATATATGTATCTGCACCAGGGCAGATGCTACTCTGCAAAGATGAAAAAAGAACAGCGTGGCCAGATAGACAGCTGCTTGTCATGTTTACTGCAGATGAAGTGGTACACGTCCGTCTGCCCGCATAACCAACCAAATTGCACTTCCATTTACAGTATAAATCATGCTGAGAGAGATGAACTTAAAAAGATACTGTTAGGTAGATACATTATTTCTCAGGATCTCCATGTCAAACATTTAATTTTAAGTTCAAACAGCCTTGTTAGTTAATTCAGGGTACTTATTCTAGAATAATCTGAAACACGGCCATGCACACTGAAACCTAGTTGACAAGGGGAAAGAGCATAAAAACAGTACCTTTCATAGTACGTATCTACTTGATCACCTCTGAAAGGCTAACTAGCTAAACTCAAACATATGTTTGAGCTGCCAAGAATGTACTATTTACAGGGAAAATTAGTCCTAATAGAGCCCAACAATACTGTGTCACTGAAAATCGTATTAAACAGATTTCCTTCAAATGTATTTCTTATGTCTATTTCATTTGTGTACAAGAAGGATATGAACGAATCAAAATAGATCTGAAATTCCCACTGGGTTCTATGGATTCTAATGAGGCCTAACAGTAAGTGGGTTAGACTGAATTATCAGAGGTCTATTTTAAACAGCAGCTAAAAATGTTCCAAGTTGGTTGGTGCAAGTAACCTCAAATGGCCATCTTTATTAGAAATGATCTTGATTTCCAGGCATATGGACATATCCGTCGTTGCTAGCCACAGACTCTGAACAGATGATATCATTCCTACAGTGATGCAATCTGGTCCTCTACTCCAAAACCTGTGTCATATAGTTAAAAACAAGGCTTCCCGCCACCCTAATAACACTAATATCCTAATTGAGATAACAAAGTTTTGTACATTTTTGAGTTCAACAGCACATGGGTATTTATGATTATTTTAAAAGTAATTCCCTTTTCTTTTGAGCCAATTAGTTTTGTATTAAACAATGATTATTATTGATTATTTTTACACGATTAACCCATAGGACCTTTGTATATAAAAATATACAACTCTTCTGAAGGTGAGACTTTCTGAATTTACTCCAGCCGTTTAAACTCTTTCAAAAGGTCCCCTGTAACTAAACAGTAATTCCCTGCCCATAACACTGATAAATATTTCAAATTCCCTCAATGCAGTACTTGCACTGCAGAGGTTAGAAGATACAATAGCCTAGACTGAACAACAGCAATAATGTTTTCCATCTTCACATCTTATTTTAGTACCAGGCATCACCATCACTGTGAAATTCAATGTTTGACTCTGTCCCATAACCATCTAACGGCACAGGAGGACCAGTTGCTAATAAACATGTTATTGTGCTCAGTATCACATACAGCTGTGAACTGATGAAAAGCCAAGACACATTATGATTTCCGCTATCATGCAGCACTACCACCTGGAGCAGAATAAGGCTGTACTGATGCAGATAGAGGGCTAAATGACCCAACACAAATACACCCAAGACAGCAAAATTAAAGATGAAAACTTATGTGTAGTTACAAAAAGAATCATCAGCTATTAAGCCCACTGACTAATCATCCTAGCATGTTCCGAGCTCAAAATTATCAAAACTGCAAAGAAAACAACATCCGTCCACTTTCACACTCCAGTGGAAGAGGTGGTCCCTCGCGGCAGGACTGCACAGTCTCGCCATCTGGAGAATAAATCGAGTGTGAAGTACAGTATAGTTTGGGACCAAGCTCCGTGGCGGCAGCTCAGCAGTTAGTTCATTAGTTCCAAACTTCCAGGGATTAGTCCAGCATCTATTCTGCTGTCAGAAAGGATAAGACAGGCAGAAAGCAAACTTCAAGGAGGACTGAACATCTAGGGACAGGACCCTAGGGTTCATTTTTGAAAGTACAGAGCAAAAAAAAAATCCAAAAAGAACTGTCTATTAGCAATATCACGATCACTGAACAAAATCTCTAAGCCTTTTGTTTGACTGAATGTAAAACAATCACAGGATGTTTCAATTTTTCAAATGGAAGTGCATTAATGAGATAGTACCTCACTGCATGAGGCTGTAGCATAATGGTCCAGATGCACAAATTAGAATGCAATGATCATGGGTTATTGTGCCAGTGTGGCCGAACACTTTCATCTACCATCCACGTATGTGATGGGTATTCTTATTTGTCAGCCAGATCACAAAGCAGGACACCTTGGGAAACCAGACTCCATCACCTTCAGAGTTTAAAGAAAATCCAAAACCAAAACTCACTTGATTTAACTAACCCTAAAGCAAATACAGCTTAGCACTGAGTGGCAACAAACCAGTCAGAATTCACAATTTGTTTCGTCCACCCACTCAGCGGAAAGTGGAGGAATGGAAGAAAGCAACTTTGAAAGGATTTAAGGAAGCAAAGTGGTAGTGTACAATCAATCTTATTGATCGTTTAATGACAAGGTAAATAAACAATGCCTCGTTACTCTTGTCGTCTGTGGCCTTTGTGAATTTATTTATTGTATTTATCTAAGTTAATGCGCTTTAATCTTTACTTTCACGTGGAGTCCTGTAGCTCACTGGTTAGAGCACTCGCTTTGCAAGCGAGAGACCCGAGTTCAATTCCAGGCAGAGCGAAACGTTGGGCACGTTTCCTTACTCCACACACCTAATAATAATCCCTCCAAAACCAAAAACAATAATAAATTGGTCATTTTCAATCCACGACTGTTTGTGGGACATTGCTGTGCGCAATTGGCTGCCGAGTTCGCCCACAAATATACAGTCAATTCACTTTACAGTGTGTTCTGTGAAGCGCTTTGGGACGTCCTCCCGACGTGAAAAGCGTTATATCAAATGCAAGGATTATTATTATTATTATTATTATATTACGTTGACCACTGACATAGTCCTATTTTTTTTTCCTGGAATTTGAACTTGATCTTTTATTTCCATTATCTGTTTACATTATATATTTGTTTACCTAGCACTCAGTAGGAATCCAGTTGTTAGTCGATTGGCGGATCTCATTTCCAGGGATAACAATCCCTCAAATAAAAAAAACAATAATACTTTGGTCACTCAATCCACGACTGTTTGTGGGACACTACTGTGCGGAATTGACTGCCGCGTTTCGCCCACAAATATGCAATCAATTCACTTTACAGTCTATTCTATGAAGCGCTTTGAGACGTCTAGAAGACGTAAAAAGCGCTATATCAAATGCAAGGATTATTTCTATTATTAATATAACACATTGGCAAATTCCATTCAAAAAGGTGAGATATTAATGCTCCTGTCAGACAGCGCTTTGGGACAAAATACAAGTTGTTGTTGTAGTAAACACAACACAGAAACTATTTCCATTGGAGGGTGAATCGGTAACCCTAGGACACCAATTCAAAATAGTTGTTAAAAGAAACAGGGGAGGTGAGAAGAATTTTTTTCACACAGCGAGTTGTTCTAGAATGCATTGCCTGAAAGGGTGGTGGAAGCCAATTCGATAACAACTTTTAAGAGAGAAGTAAATAATTATTTGGGGAGGACAAGTTTGTAGGGCTATGGGGAGAGAGCGGTGGAGTGAGATTGATTTGGAAAGAGCCAGCACAGACCTGGCTTTTTAAAGAGCCAGCACAGACACGATGAGCTGAATGGCCTCTTTCTGTGTTGTGTGATTCTAGGATTCTATGAAATGGGTGCAGTCATGAGCCCTCCAATCTCACATATAAAAAGCATGAAAAGGCTCCATTGAAGGTTTAATGAGTAATGACACTGGTCAGAGTCTCACTAAGGCTTCAACTTCTCCATTTGTGCTGAATTAGCTGATCTCAATCAGCTCAGCAGTTATGGTTCTTCAATTGGACTTAGAGGTCGTGGACCAGGAAGGGAAAACATTGGCCAGGATTCCTGTGCTAATTGCTCTCCAGGAATTCTGCTAAAAAGGTGCATTTAAAGTGTGTAATATTTTGTGAGAACTGGATCCGATTCAGTTGTGCTGCCCTCTATGCCTTCCAACACTCATTGTAGTGGCTGGCACATTAAGAATCGCCAGTTGGATAAGATACCATAGTATTGCCTACAACGGTAGAACTGTACTACAGTTACAGGCTAACACGCTGCAGGAGAAGATGAGAGGAGAAAA